GTGGGGTCCTTGGATATCAAAGAAGCATCTGAATCTGTCCAGTGAGAATATCTCTGGGCAGCACTATGCAAATTTCGGTTTGGTCCTAATTATATATTATCTTAGGTACCACCCATTTATTCTGAACCCATAACCCAAATACCCACTAATATTCTATGTCAGCAACATTTACAGTTTACAGAGAAACTAGGGAGAGTTACCCTCTATCTCCATAAGTTATTTGTGTTGGCTCTGGAACCCCTTTGTCATCTCTTCCCAAAACAGAGTTTGTGTGCGGGTTGACTGTCCGCACCCTGAAGGGAAAAAAATTCCCTTCGCTGACAATACGTTGCTATTTTTCTTCTGTAATGGTTCCACCTTCTTACAGTCAGTCCTGCAGATTAATACCTTTGGTTCATACTCTGGTCTAAGAAGCAGGCTGGAGATCTGTGCAGGTACCTGCCATAGATACCTAATGTTACTTTCATGACAAACATGCAAAAAGTACTTGATTAGAAATTTCCATAGCCAACATCAAAGTGCAGCTAAATGACGCTACTTACAAAACAATATTGTGACATGTACAAATTATATACAGGTGGCTAAACAATATAAAAAAACTGCCATGCAAAACAGGCGTGGTGTGCCCAAAGGATAATGGCCCTATACAGATGGAACTACTCACCAGTGATGAAGAACATCATTAGTCAAGTAAATCAAATGTAGACGTAATTCAAAATGTGCTCCTTCAGCCGTAATCCGATTGCGCAAGTGACCAGCCATAAGTTCACAATGCTGAGGAGATTTGGCATTGCTGAACATCCAGTTCTTGCCTGCCTGTGAGCATCATTAATGAAGTCTGTATTAGTTAAGCATGTTTTAGTTCACTTAATAAACAAACACTACCACTTAGTTCCTCCTAACAGAATTGTTTCTTTCAATGGTGGGCGAGACACATATATCCACAAAATCATTCTGGTTGCCTAGTTCAGAAGATCAACTGAATAAACTGGGCCTTACCAACCTTTCTATCTTAATAAGCTGATATAACATAGTTTACATTACAAATGAATGAGTTGTTAAGATAGATGTTCTTTTCAGCTTTTTTGTGCTAAAGGTAATTTCTAAAAAGGGAAGGAGAAACAGTTAGCTTTAAGGTCTGTGGTATCTCAAATGAGCAATCAGAAACAGTTGAGGACAACTTACAGATATGGCATCCTTGGTACATGTGTCAATAATTGGCTGCAGCAAGTTATCAAACTCAGTCATGTCCAGGTGTGTTTCTTCACGCATTTTCTGCATCTGTTGTTCGATGGCATGTGCCACTGCAGCTGTTATTTGCTCCTGAAACACAGAAAATGTTCAGAGGTCTCAAATCAGCATATTTTTAGTGTTTGTTGATCTAACATGCAGTGACCAATTGTGAAAATTACATGAGGGGAGCTACTATATTTATACCTGTCTCATGGTGAGCAACTGTTGTTCTTGCTGCTGCACATTCCACTGGCTTTGCTGTACAAGGTCCTCTATAGAAGGTGCACCTTGAGGAGGTGGTACTAGAGTAGGGGGCAGAGGCAATGCTGGAGGGGGAATTGGGGCGATCTGAGGCTTGGGCTCTATGTCCTGGGTTTGCTTGCAAATAACTGAATATAAAAGAAAAAGAAAAGCAAATACAGATAAATTTATAATCCTGATATTACAGCTAGACAGGGTGGAAACTGATCAGAAATGCCTTTCAAACGTGTCTTCAGTCTCTATGGGGGAGATTTACTAAAACTGGAGCACACAGAATCTTGTGCAGCGGTGCATAGTAACCAGCTTCTTACTTCAGCTTGTTCAGTTAGGCTTTGGCAATAAAACCTGGAAGCGGATTGGTTTCTGTGCAGAGCTTTCTATGCTCTCTCAAGTTTTAGTAAATTACTCTGTCTGCATAAACATGAGATATCGATTACAGTTCAATGAATCAGGTAATTAAACAAAAAAAAAAAATATCTAAAAGTACAGTGCAACTAAGTGAAAACTGTGGTACTGACAAGGTTAACCTCTTCCTGACTGCCCCATAGCAGAACTACTGCTACAGGGCATCAGGGCTGCGCAAAATCACGTATATATAAGTGATTTCGCATTTCCGGGTAGGGGGCGCACCGCCATTAGCAGCTACAGCTTTCGATCAATGGGTCCCATCCAGAGATTCCCGCCGGCATCCGGCAATTGCCAAGGAACAGTGAAAGGGGAAAGGTCTGTGTAAACAACACAGATCTCTCCCCTGTCAGCACCGACATGCTGCTTTGTATTGCTCTGCACAGCACAGCAGAGCAATACAAAGCAGTATGTTTCCCTAGTAAAACACACACAACACACATAGTAAAAACAGAACACAGTTAACCCTTTGATCGCCCCAGTTGTTAACCCCTTCCTGCCCAGTGCCATTAGCACTGATCACTGTATTAGTGTCACTGGGGATGTCAGTTCCCAATCAGTGTTAGAATGCCCACCGTAGTCCCGCTATAAGTCGCTGATCGCCGCCATTAATAGTATATATAAAAAAAATTCCAGTATATATACCATTTGTAGACGTTATAAAACTTTCACGTAAACCAATTAAATTTACATGTATTGGGATTTTTTTTTTTTTTTTTTTTTAGCAAAGACTTGTAGCAGAAAACATTTTGGCCTACATTTATGACAAAATTTGATTTTTTTTACTGGATATGTTTTATAGCAAAAGGTCAAAAATATTGGTTTTTTTTTTTCAAAATTGTCAGTCCTTTTTTGTTTATAGAGCAAAAAATAAAAACCGCAAAGGCAATCAAATACCACCAAAAGAAAGCTCTATTTGTGGGGAAAAAGGACAAAAATGTAATTTGGTTGCAGCATTGCATGACCACACAATTCTCAGTTAAATTAACACAGCGCTGTATCGCAAGAAATGGCCTGGTCGGGGGGGGGTAAATTCACTGGAGGGCAAGTAGTTAAAGAAGATGAATTTCAGTGTAGCGAACAAATCTGTCAAAGCTGTACTGGTAGTGCCTTAACTGGAACCAATTTGTACATTTTCTGAAATGAAAGTTCTTTGAGAAAATCAAAGATATGTAGCTACAGGAAATAAAAAAAATTGAGCTTCTAAAAAATGTTTTACATACGTTGCTGCTGCTCCATGGCAAGTTTATATTTGTAGTAGTTGTAGAATTCTCCTCCGAACAGGAATGAGAACTTAGGATTATCTTTCTGCTTTTCCATTGTCATGTTCTCAAATTCGGGTCCATTTCTAGCCACAAATTGTGCTAGCTTGTCAATAACATTCCGAAGCTCCTGGTCTGTTAGAAAAAAAGAATCACTGCAGTTAATGCAAAAGATCAAGGAAGCCTTGATGCACGAAACAAAGACAGCAGAAGCCTTAGTTCAATGAGCTAAGAATATAAACAAGGGAAAAAAAAGGAACTGATGTGTCCAATATTTGTGGATGCAGTGGATATAGAAAAGAATCACCCCCCTTTAAAATAATCACATTTTGTTGCTTTGCAGCCTGAAAAGTAGACAGACACAGTTTTTGTTTTATCTAGCTGTATTTACTCGTGCAATTTGTAACATCCAAGTGAAACATATAACAAAATGTCAGAAAAAAATAAATCAAAAACAGAATCATTCAGTTGGAAAAAGGACCGCCCCTCCTTGTGTCAGTATTTTGTTGAACCACCTTTGCTTTAATTACAGCATTTAGTCTGTTGGGATGTCTCTATTAACTTTGCACATCTAGACTTTGCAATATTTGCCCACTCTTCTATGCAGAACTGCTCAAGTTCAATTAAATTTGATGGTGACCATTTGTGGACTGCAGTCTTCAAGTCATTCCAAAGATTTTCAAAGGGGACTAGTGCAGGCCATAGATGGGTCGTTAATCGTACCGATTTTACGGCCGAAAGAAAAATCGGCCGATTTTCGTACCGTTAGTGTATTAGTTAGTCGGCCGTTTTTCATGTATTTTGCACTTTCAGATTATCGGTTATGTTGGGAAATTTGCGGCCGATTTGGACGATTGGACGATTTTCCCAGCAATGATGGCCAAATTGGACGATCGTTTTAACAATAAAAAATCTACGCATGAGCTGTGGCCTGAAAGGGACAGAAGTTATGGGGTGAACTTTATGATTTAGTCGGACGATTTTTTTTATTCGTTGATGGTAACGTCGGCCGAACGACTGATTTTTCGTTTATCGTTCGAAAAAATCGGCCAATGTTCGACCCGTCTATGGCCTGCATAAGTCTGGGCTCTGACTAGGCCATGCAAGGACATTCACCTTTTTCTCCAACTACTGTGTGACCATTTTTGCTGTGTACTTTGGGTCATTGTCATGAGGGAAGGTAAACCTTCTTCCCAATGACAACTTTCTGGCAGATGGCAGCAGATTTTCCTCAAGAATTTGACAGTGTTTTGCCCCATCTATTTTTCCTTCTATCCTGACAAGTGCTCCAGTTCCTACTGCAAAGAAACACCCCCATGCAGGTGGGACTGAGCTGGAATAACCGCTCAGTGCAGTCCCAGGGGCATCTGGTGTGAGTGGACCTTTAAGATCTAGATATGATGATCTGTTATTTGTGTCATTAAAAATAAAGCTTTGTCAGGTAAAAGAAACTGGCTCATAACTTTTTTAGCTGGCTCCTAATTTCAAAGAAATGTTGTTAAGCGCTGCCTTAATTTACCTCCAGTCTAATAGCTTCCAGCTTCTCTGGGTGTAGATGCTAATCTTCCCTCCACAGAGCCCTTAAAGTGACTGTACACGTTGGAATTCTATTTTTAAATAACAAACATGTCATACTTACCTGCGTGTGCAATGGTTTTGCGCAGAGCAGCCTGAACTTACTCATCTAGGGTGTCCTTCCAGGACTCCTAGCTCCTCCTGTCTTCAGAGTTCCCCCATAGAGCGCTTGGTCATAGAATGCATTAAGGTAAAAAAAAGTCTGTCTTTAGAATCACTTTAACCTCCCTGGCGGTATTCCCGAGTGTAGCTCGGGGTAAAAGTTCAGTACCAAAAGCGGTAACCCCGAGCTACACTCGGGCTTACCATGCGGCATTGCTCAGGGATTCCCTGCAGCACTTACCTTGTCCTTCGCTCCCGCGATGTGTCCCCTGCAGCGTCCCCGGCCATCTCCTCCGGCCGATGCCGGCATCCGGCTTCCGTGTTCCGGTCCCTGTGACGTCGGGACGTACAGGCGCCGGAACCGGTGGCAAATTTGAAAGTTTTAAAAAATGTCTTATTTTAAAATGATTATTACATAGCAAAACATTGCTGTTTCAGAGCATTTCACGTACATTTTGTCCCTACTGCTTTGTCCTGTGCCCTGCCTGCATTTTGACTGTTCTTTCTGCCTGGAAACTGGGAAAAGTCCATGGCGTCCAAAAAGCATCCCTTTAGGTCAAAATCGGTTTTAGACCAGCTAGGGAACAGTGATAGTAAATCAGAACCACTTGCAGAATTGAGTGATGATTCGTGGGGAAATTCATCATCAGACACTGAAAAACGATTCTGCGACTTTGCTCAGCGATGTGCGAACTTGGCGCTATATTTCAAATTTCAGTGTTTTTGGTTTGATTATATTATAGAATTATTATTATTATTTTTTATGATTATTTATTAAAATATAATTTATGATTTCGTGGTTCAAGTTTTATCATATCCGGAATGTTTACTAGACTCTTGTTCGGACAGATTTCAGTGAGTTATTCCTAAAAATTACAGCCTACAATAAAAAAAAACGAAAAATTTCCATGCAAAATAATGGTACCGCTTTCAGCACCAAAAATCTGAAATAATCATACCGCCAGGGAGGTTAAATCACCTTCTTCTCCTGCCAGGGAATACATGTCCTATGACGCATTGCTCCTCACACATTCACAAGTTATCAGGCACTTACGGACATGTATAAATGGTGCACTGAGCTGTACGTGTGCTGCACTGTGTATACGGACAAATAGTCCATTCTGTATGCCTATTTGTATAGTTGTTGATAAGTATAGTTGACAACTATTTCATTATCAGTTATAATCAATTATGTTGATCAGTTGTTTTGGCCCTAGTTTCAGCTATTTTTTCTGACTAGAAGCTGCATGCGGTCATGTACAGAGTAGAAAGGGGAGCAAAGCAGGATTGCTGCAAGTCTGAATATTTCAACATTTCAGAAAATGTCAATGGGTTTTGTAAGGGGACAGATTCATTCTATATATCCCTCCGATGAGTTATTCAAAAGAAAAGGGAAAGCGTATAAAACTAGTGCAGTAAATCCTTTTATTAGGAGCAAACGGATAATCCAAAAAATAACTGCACTCACATATAGAAAATCATAGGATCGCTTTGTATAGAAACAGAGCACTGCCTCATGTTGCCACTGGAGCCAGTGATGTTCAGAGTGGATTCCCTTTTTCAGATCTAGAGTAGCAATCAGCTGGGCAATTTGGTGTGCTCCTTCCTTTGTAAGGTCCTTCCCACAAGTTGAAGAACCGGTACTGAGTGTGGCTGTGTTCTCATGTCTGTCACTGCTCCACTCTAGGCAAAAGACTCTTGTGTTAAAGGGTGCCTTCAGCAGCATACAGTGGGGCAAAAAAGTATTTAGTCAGCCACCAATTGTGCAAGTTCTCCCACTTAAAAAGATGAGAGAGGCCTGTAATTGGCATCATAGGTAGACCTCAACTATGAGAGACAAAATGAGAAAAAAAAATCCAGACAATAACATTGGCTGATTTGGAAAGAATGTATTTGCAAATTATGGTGGAAAATAAGTATTTGGTCACCTACAAACAAGCAAGATTTCTGGCTCTCACAGACCTGTACCTTCTTCTTTAATAGGCTCCTCTGTTGTGCATTCATTACCTGTATCAATGGCACCTGTTTGAACTTGTTATCAGTATAAAAGACACCTGTCCACAACCTCAAACAGTCGCACTCCAAACTCCACTATGGTGAAGACCAAAGATCTGTCGAAGGACACCAGAAACAAAATTGTAGACCTGCACCAGGCTGGGAAGACTGAATCTGCAATAGGCAAGCAGCTTGGTGTGAACAAATCAACTGTGAGAGCAATAATTAGAAAATGGAAGACATACAAGACCACTGACAATCTCCCTCGATCTGGGGCTCCACGCAAGATCTCACCCCGTGGGGTCAAAATGATCACAAGAACGGTGAGCAAAAATCCCAGGACCACACGGGGGGACCTAGTGAACGACCTGCAGAGAGCTGGGACCAACGTAACAAAGGCTACCATCAGGCTGACACACACTACGCCACCAGGGACTCAGATCCTGCAGTGCCAGACGTGTCCCCCTGCTTAAGCCAGTACATGTCCGGGCCCGTCTGAAGTTTGCTAGAGAGCATTTGGATGATCCAGAAGAGGGGATTGGGAGAATGTCATATGGTCAGATGAAACCAAAATAGAACTGTTTGGTAGAAACACAACTCGTCGTGTTTGGAGGAAAGAGAATGCTGAGTTGCATCCAAAGAACACCATACCTACTGTGAAGCATGGGGGTGGCAACATCATGCTTTGGGGCGGTTTCTCTGCAAAGGGACCAGGACGACTGATCCATGTACAGAACAGAATGAATGGGGCCATGTATCGTGAGATTTTGAGTGCAAACCTCCTTCCATCAGCAAGGGCATTGAAGATAAAACGTGGCTGGGTCTTCCAACATGACAATGATCCCAAACATACCGCCCGGCAACGAAAGAGTGGCTTCGTAAGAAGCATTTCAAGGTCCTGGAGTGGCCTAGCCAGTCTCCAGATCTCAACCCCATAGAAAACCTTTGGAGGGAGTTGAAAGTCCATGTTGCCCAGCGACAGCCCCAAACACATCACTGCTCTAGAGGAGATCTGCATGGAGGAATGGCCCAACATACCAGCAACAGTGTGTGCCAACCTTGTGAAGACTTACAGGAAACCTTTGACCTCTGTCATTGCCAACAAAGGATATATAACAAAGTATTGAGATGAACTTTTGATATTGACCAAATACTTATTTTCCACCATAATTTGCAAATAAATTCTTTCCAAATCAGCCAATGTGATTGTCTGGATTTTTTTTTTCTCATTTTGTCTCTCATAGTTGAGATCTACCTATGATGCCAATTACATGCCTCTCTCATCTTTTTAAGTGGGAGAAGTTGCACAATTGGTGGCTGACTAAATACTTTTTTGCCCCACTGTATGTGTTTTGTGTGAGCACTCACTCACAGCTCTATTTCTGGGCTCTCCAATGAGTTGTGAAAGATTACCATGGCAATGCATTTCATAGATAGTTTCAGGTTTGACAAACGGGAACCATCCCCGAAATATGTTTGCCTAGATTTGATGGAGGGGCTCTACTCTCAACATCGCTGGCGCCAGTGACAACATGAGGCAATGCTCTGTTTGCATACAAAGCGATCCTATGATCTCCTGCATGCGAGTTCAATTATTCTTAGTGTTATCCATTTGCGCTTAATAAAAGGATTTATGATTTCGAATTCTATGCTCTTCCCCTTTTCTTTCTCTTGTTTTTTTTGCAAGCTATATTTGCAGCTGGTGATGATGAGGAAGCAGCAAGACAATAGAACAGATCTACTATTATACTAGGAACTCACAAATATGAGCATACATAAAGATTATATGGCCTTTAAGCACAGACAATTTTATTTTGCTTCTTCTCCTGCTTCCTGGAGTTGTTAAAGCTGAATTCCAGGAAAAGTAAAAATCCTTCTTTGCAGTGGTTCCCCTATTCCAAGGGTTAAGTGCTCAATTAGGTGTAGGGGACAGGGAAAGCACATAAGTGCCCAATCCTCCAGCAGCTGGTGCTCCAGTGTTGGGCAGTTCCTTGGCATCCTTGGATCCAATGCAAAGTTATGGGCCCTGCATTTGACTTGATTATGTCAGAGGACCTGGGTCTGCTGGAGCATATCGAAGGCAAGGCTGCAGGGACCAGACTTGCAGAACAGAGGAGCCTTCAGGAGGGAAGGATCGGATAAACAAACTTGCCCCTGTGATTGGCCCTTTGCTGTGATCTGTGATCAGCTGCGTTCCAAAGGATGAGTTGCATTCTGGGAGGACGTCTATATATGCCCTCTCAAAACGAGAGGGCCATGGAGTAGCCGCCTTTCAACTATAGCGCAGTATTAAAGTGGTTGCAAACCTGTACATATACCCAGTGAAGTGACCAATATTCAGCAATACACAGAGATTAAACAAATCCTCCTACATAAGTTGTAGCTGTGCATCTGTAGCAATTTCCTCTGTAGACCATTCTGAAAACTCAAAGAAGAAAGGATTTCTTCTTAGATCTAGGAGCTGGTGATGAGGCTCTGAAGTCTTTAGAGAGTCAGCAGCTCTGAGCCCTGATTGGAGGGAAGGAACCCCCCATTCCTTTCACACAGTACAAAGAACAGGCACAGCTGTAAATAGGAGTGCTGCAGCTTCTTTCCTCGCCACTTTAACTCTTGGCGTTGGGAAGTGACTATTATGAGACAGAAAAACCTGACAACAGAAATAAATTACACTCAGAGCTGCTTTTTTTCATATCTGAGGATTACACTATCAGGGATATGCTTTTTTTCATATCTGAGGATTACAACCAGTTGATGATCTGCCACAGTACTTTTACTGGGCAGGGCGGTAGTTGCAGGTATAGCAACGTACCTGTATGTCACTGGCCTCTTCCGGGTTTTGGGTGTGTGCCCTGCATACTCCCCGTGATTTGACAAAGCAGGATTATATCAGCAGATCCTGGCCAATGATTTATGGCTGGAACCTGCTGATCGGATATGTGAAATCACAGCCTAGAGCTCTGTATTGGTAAACAACACAGAGCTCCATACAGAGGGACAGATCACTGTATTTCTAGTGAAAAAAAATGTATTTTCTACTAAAAAAAAAAATAGCACACAGTAAAACACATTAACACTTGCTAGGCACACAGTTAACCCCTTGATTGCGCTAGATGTTAACCCCTTTCCAGCTAGTGTCATTAATACAGTGAGTGTATGGGCTGTTTGGGCTGGTCCACAATTTAAAAAAATATAAACAAACAAAAAAACGAACAAACATCCTGTTCAAATAGCGTAGGGTGGGCTGCAGTAGGTTGAGTAAAGTGTGGATTCACACACGTGAAGTGCGAATTGAAGCTCCGTTTCAACACCTAATTGACACAGTAGTTGTTCAGCGGTTCAGGTCAGGTTTAGATCAGGATCAGGTCAGGATTTTATCCTGTTCACAACTGATGATGGTTCGATTAAGAAGTGATCCCATAGAAGTCAATGAGCCTGAATTTACACCTGAGCCGAACCACACTGCTCAGAAAACTGACAGGACTCTTTTTCAATTCGCACTGAATTCGGTTGCAC